CCAAATTATTCACTGCCATTACTTTTTCCTCAGATAAATGAGAAACGTCTCATACCCAGAAGCGACCTCAAAAAACTCACTCCATTATTTAGGCCAAAGGGCAGGATCAAACATTCTAACACAATAGATGCACTCCTGGATTGCCCAGTCAGAAGAGAATCAACATCTGGAAAGACTCTTTTAGGAAACGTGTCACGTAATTAGTTACAGAGCAAAACTTTCCTGAAGAAAGTGAAATAAAATACAGAAGTAAAGATTAAAATTTTTAAATAGAGCAGATAAGTTCATTTTTTTTAACTTAAATCTTGGGAAAAGGAAATTTAGTAGTACCCTAAAGAATCACTTTTGGGTTTTGGTGCTTTTTTGGCTTGGTTTTTTTTAACATATTCCACCAAAATAATCACCTAGAAATTGTTTGGCACTGCTTTTACACGAACTACTCTTGTTATAATCTCCATTAAATATCTAAAAGATCCATTTCAAGTTACAACCACACTTTATATATAACAACTTTATTTCATCTTTGGCACCATCTGATAAAACAAAAGGTGATAAATGTCAAACATTGCAAACTATGCAAATAGAGAAAAACAAGAACAATTTAAGTAATGAAAATCAGAACGCTTTTTGTGGATTGTAATACAGTTAACAATGTGCACTGTTAACTGTATTACACATCATAGTAGCATCATATAATACATTTTCCACAAGATAAATATTCAGCCTCAGAATTTGACAGAATATATAAAGATCTAGACTAAAAGATGAAAAACATCTTAAAACACTCACACTTAACAAATTCTCTAGGCCTTATAGTTGGGGCCCCGACTGGTGTGTCAGGGTGTGTGGAGAAATTGATCCCCTCAGCTTTCAGAGCAGTTGGGCACAAGTGGCAGCCTGGCTTGAGGTGTCAGAGCCAGTTGCCTCCAAGCCCCAGACAGCTCCATGGGTTTATCCCACATGCTGTGCAACTACTACCACGTCCTACCTATACGGTTCATGACGTGGGAAGGGTTAGGAAATCCTGCGCCAACAAACCCACCAAGATGTACAAGTATCCAACTTATCTTTTAATCTCCAGGGAAATATTGAAAAAAATTCTAGTTACCTATCATTCTCACACAAATCTAGGTTTAGAAATTCTATCTATCTACTGGAAATAGATATTATGACATATCTTCCTATTTTTTAAACTGTATCATGCTTCTCTAATATTTTTTTCAAAAACAGGAACTCTGATATACTCAGTTCCCACCTTTTTGAAAACTTACAACTCCCTAGAAACTGCAGCTTAACTTAGACCACTTATGGTTACAGTGCTCTACTCAAGAATGATTTCTAACAGGGCCAGCCCCGTGGCCTAGTAGTTAAGTTCGGTGCACTCTGCTTCAGCGGCCCAGGTTCACAGGTTCGGATCCTGGGCACAGACGTACACCACTTGTCAGCCACGCTGTGGCAGCGATCCACATACAAAATAGAGGAAGACTGACACAGATGTTAGCTCAGGGTGAATCTTCCCCACAAAAAAGAAAAGAAAAGAAAAAGAATGATTTTTATCACTAGGGAAAATCATTAAATTAGCAAGAAAAAGTAACGTAACTCAGCGTCTATTTCAAAAGGAGCCTGAAAAGAGCTGAAAACTAAGAACAAAACTAGAAAAGGCAAATACTGCCTATAACCAATCTTTTTAATTTACATCTAACAAAAATGTCTATCTGTCAGAGTAATTTTTCCAGAATGAAATCTTAAGCTGCCTCCCTAATTGAAATCCTTTAATAGTTCCTTAAGTCCTACGGGATAAAATCCAAACTTCCCAGAATGTTTACAACCTGGACCCTGATTTCGTCTCTTCCAGCTTTCTCTCTCATAGTCTCCCTTCCCCATCTCTATATTCCAGAATGTTCAACTACTTGGTAATATCTGTGTATAGTCAAACCTCCATGCCTTTCTCACACTGCTCTGCCCACCTGAAATGCTTTATCCCATGCCACACTACACACACACACACTCTTCATGAGAACAGCTCAAATTTCATCTAAAAATAATCATACATAGACTAGCTACCACAGGCTAAGGACGTTACTGAGGAACACTCAGATCTATGCACTATTTATTGAGCAACTATTAAATGCCAGGAACAGTGTTTAGCACTAGGAATAAATGTCTTTGCCCTCAAGGAGCTTACAGATTAGCTAAAGACACGAGTGAATAGGCAGGTGATTTTAATACAGAAAGACAGGCACTAGAATGAGGCTAGCAGAGCGCTATGGAGAAGCAGCATGATGCGGATACCTAGCAAGTGAAGTAAGTGGTGCCTAGATGACAGAGAGGAACTCCAAGAACCAGGGAACTAAGCAGAAACTGATTTTTTTTAAAATATTCTTTTCTTAATAATTTTATTTATTCATTTATTTTTTCCCCCAAAGCCCCAGTAGACAGTTGTATGTCAGTTGCACATCCTTCTAGTTGCTGTATGTGGGACGTGGCCTCAGCATGGCTGGAGAAGCAGTGCGTCGGTGCGCGCCCGGGAACCGAACCCAGGCCGCCAGCAGCAGAGCACGCACACTCAACCGCTAAGCCACGGGGCCGGCCCTACAGAAACTGATTTTTTAAAAAAATCTTAACTGTGAAGTAAGGAGTTTGGACTTTATTGTAATACCAGTGGTTAAACCCCCAAGGACACTGTCAAATCTATATGGCTCCTTTGTCTTCACAACAAACACAGAGAAATTACAGATAAAATATAAAAACAAATCACGAAAATGATCTCCCTATGCCCCAAAACATGTTAAACATCTCTATGGATCAGAAATCTAACAGGAACACAGAGTGTGAGCTAAGCTGAAGCCAGGAGATCTGCTGGGCTCTGGGCCCCAAAGGAGGAAAAGGCAGAGGAAGTTGATCCCAGGGGGTAACTGTACATAAAAGAGTTGCATGTGAAGCAGTGAAGCAGGCAGGGTCTTTGCTTAAAGCCAGGGATGGGGGTGGCACTCCTCCTTGATTATGAAACTAGATTGAAAAGGCTTCTGCTAACGGCACTGAGGCTACAACTTAGGAAGCTGCTGACCTAATGCCAGCTGACTCAGTGACTGAATCTGTGATATCCCCAACGTCACCAGGGGGCTGGGGCTCTGATCCACCGACACAAGATCTGATTCTGATCTCTGAACTCCAAAGCCAGGCAGAGACAACTGCAAATCTGCTAAACCAGCAGGGGAAATCACAGCTCGAGGGAGAGAGGGAGAGAGGGAGAGAGGGAGAGAGGGCGAGAGGGAGGAGGGGGGGAGAGAGAGAGAGAGAAAGAGATAGAGAGAGAGAGACACACACACATAGGAGAAAGAAACAACACTCCCATCAGAATGTGCCTGCAAAATTACAGAACATGATGAAAACACCAAGAGTATCAACAACCACAATATAAATTCATTGCAGACAAAAATAAAAAAATTATCAACTGATTTGAAAAAGACTTTAAAATAAGCATGTAAAAGATCCACAAAGAGATAAAAGAATAACGAAAGAACCAAACAATTTTTAAATAAAAACAAGCAGAAATGAGAAAAGCACTAGTGGATATAAAAAAGAACCAATTAAAAATCTTAAATGAAGTATAACCACTGTAATTTACAAATAAAAAATTTTATGTGGTTCAGATACTTATTATTAGTTGCCTAACAAGCCAACCCTCTCTCTGCCTCCATCCTTACAGGGCTCTATGAGTCTTGGGGCGTAACGGTACAAAACACTTGGTTAGATACTGACATTCAAACATGAAAGACACATGGAACCTGTCCTCAAAGAACTTGCCATTTGTAACAATGATGTTAACAGAACACTAAGATTACAAAACAGAAAAAAATTTATCCAAAAATGTAAGCCTTTTTTAAGTTAAAATGCTTAGTTTTCATGAACTCATATTAGTATTTTTACTAGAGTTGGCACTTTACATTAGATAAACATTCTCACAAAATTTCATATGAATGGAGCTGAAATAACAATAGCTGCTTCCTTCTTAATCTGTATTTGAATTCATCAACAACGATGATGAATTCAAAGTATACCACCAAAAAAGTACTCCACAGGAAAATCTAGGAAATCAAAGACCACTTCTTGCAATATTATTCTTAGTAGAAAACACTCAAAGATTTCACAGTAACAACTTCACTTATCAACTGCCAATTTAAAGTGATGATGAGAAAATCTACTCTATTCATATTAATGTAAATATAATCAATATGAATAATATGTGAAAATTTTTTAACTCTCTTATATTCCAATAAGGAAATACTCGTTCCATCCTAAAGTCTCCATAATCAAAAAAGTTGTACTTTGTAAAAATACATCAAAACTGTCATAGGATCCCAGTTTGGGTAAAAATCTTACTTCTTTCCTCACTCTCTAAAAGTAAACAGTTAACACAAAATAGTAAAATCCAGTTCTCCTGTTCACAAGCAGAAGTCAATAGGAACGAGAGAAAATATTACATATCTATCCCCTTACAACTGAGAAGATAAAATGTACATCAAATTTGGTAAGTCTATAGGATGGACTTCGGTTCTTATTCCATCAAAAACATTGATAAAGAGATTGGGTTTTTTTTGCTTAAATATAATATTAACCCATGTTATCCAATGATTAAATTCCACACAATAAAAACCTCTGCTAATTATGGTCAACTGCAATTTTACCTCCTCATATTTCTGAAGAGTCATGTTCCAATGGCTAGTCAACAGAAAAGTTTAGATAATAAAACTAAATCAGCCAAGACGCTAATGACATAGATTTCCTCCTCACATCTAACTTCTTAGAATAAATCGAACATCAAAAAGTATCTCCTTGTTTAAATAGAGATAAGCGTACAGTATTGGGCTAAACCAGATTATTCAATTGCTGATGAAATAACATAATTCCAATTTGTCCAATAATAAATTTTTCCTTTTTTAAGTACAATACTGCACATGCTCCTGAGGTGATGAAATGAAACAAAGAAGGACACTTACTCATGACTGGAAACGTCTCTGTACGTTGCCCCAATGAGATATTAAACCAAAATCTGCTATCCAAGGTTTCTCAGAGGAATACATGTCCTAGTCAGAAAACAGAGAGAAAGAAATCATGTTTTTTAAAGGTCAGTATTTAAAATAAAATTTTCTAAAAGGAAATCAGGAAAATAATTTAGTTTCAAAACCTTTCTTTTTCTGAAAGATCCCCTTGGCAACATCTAAATATAAAAGATTATCAGGGCCAGCCCGGTGGTATAGTAGTTAAGTCCGTGCACTCCATTTTGGCGGGGCCCAGGGGGTTCACGGTTTCGGATCCCAGGCACAGACTTGCGCACCACTCATCTAGCCACGCTGTGGTGGTGACCCACATACAAAATAGAGGAAGACTGGCACAGATGTTAGCTCAGCAACAATCTTCCTCAAGCAAAAAGAGGAGGGCTGACAACAGATGTTAGCTCAGGGCCAATCTTCCTCACCAAAAAACAAACACAAAGATTACCAATGAATCTTAAGAACACCATATTTTCTTTTTCCTGTAAGAAGTTATCTCGAAAGTAAATAATATGTATAAAGTAATTACCACACAGATTTTTATTAACAGGCATCCTTTGTCTTCAGTTACTAAAAACTTATTCCCTCCCCCATTCCCAAATAAAGAAGTCACACAGAAAGAAAGCACTCCATCAAGAGTAAATACAGCATATCACACCTGCTACATTTATTTCAATTGCACATAAATGATTTATATATGCCATCAAATAAAGATCACCAAAGTTATTCCTATAGACTTTCTCTAATAATGGGCATTTCCTCATTATAAGAGTAATATGAGTTCATTATTTAAAAAAATAAATTGGAAACAGAAAAGAAGAAAGAACAATTCTCCCACAACACAACGCCATTACACCTACCCAATCATTTAGGGCATGTTTCCTTTCAAGGAATTTTTTGAAAGCACTTTAAAAATATATTTATAAACACTACATAGAAAATTTTGTATTTGGTTTTTTTCTCTTAAGTATAACATAAAGCATCACGCTGTATTAATATAAATACAAACTTTAACCCTTTGCTAAGATTTACATTATAAATCTTCCTGTTGATTAATATATAAAGAAAGTGAGGCATACACTAATACTAATGATATATGTAAACATAACCATGATGTACAAATGCCTCCCCAAATCTAATATATAAAATTCCTCAGATAAGATCAGATTCAATACAAAATTTACACTTATGCTAACTCATGTGTAGCCTCCTTCATAAACTGATAAGCTACTTCTTGCAATCACAAGAAGTGATGGTTACTCTTTTCTAAATCAAGTAAGAAAATAGCACAATACTAAAGACCTCTGCTTCTGAAACTAATCTAAGTGAGGGTGATGGTTTTTGAAGAAATAATGCTTGCCCCATCCATATACCTTACTCATATGGTGTAATATACATGAGAAGTATAAATTTATAAAATGAAAAAAGAATTCATCAGCATCTGTATGCACAGCACGGTTCACATACTGTAATTAGCAATAGCATATAATCCTAGTGCTGCCACGTAATCACCTGATCCCCATCCCACACACTTTCTTCCTTATCTATGCAGTAGATACTATTAGGTGATCTTCATTTCCAGATAACCCAATTATCCCAAAGGAAATGAGAAGTTGTATGGAAAATCTACAACATATAATCCACATGTTTGTACATGATGAAAGTTTCTCACAATAAATACACTTTCTTGATGGTGCTTCACTGACTTGATTAGATTTGTCCTCCCAGGGAATTATGAGGTTGAACAAGCTGACCCCTGAAGTATATGAAGGATGATATGGGAAGACAACTCCATGTTACAAATACACGATGTAGACTAAACGTTCACAGATGACCCAGGAGTTCACTCATAGTTCATTTACACTTATAGACTCTAGTCCCTCTGCCCAGGGACTTTTCTCTTTGTTCTTGTTGATATCAAAGTTTTTATCTTAAATTTAAAATTCCTAAATGGCAACATCAAAGCACTTTGTACTAAGCAGGACACCCCTCCTGCCCATAATCATAAGTTGCCAAATAAAAACTTATTCAAGGATTGAAGTTCCTAAGATATCAAGAGTTTTCTCAGCACTAAAAATAGTAAACTCAAAAACACCAGGATAAAAAAACTTATAAACACTGGATTTAGAACCTTACCATCTGAGGTGATAAATGTACTTTACCAATATGCAACAATACATGTGTTGGAATTAACGTAAAATGTCATGGAGTAGTTCTTAGAAACATATTTTTAAATTACTTATAACTAAGTCACTTGTTCAAGATTCTTTACGCTAATCACAGCTTTGAAATGTAGATCCTCCCATTTACTTTCAAAGTAGGTAGTCTACCAATTCTTTTAAGGATGGAGGCTGTTCAGTAGCACATCAGATAAAATTTTCACATTCTGTTTCTCCTCCTCTAAATGCTATCCCCTCCCACTGGACACAAAAAGAAAGAAGAAAAATCTTAATTGCTGTTTTTCACACCATCCAAGAGGGAAAAAGTAATTTGTCTTAAATCCACAATTTCACATAAGAGGCATATTGGGGTATTTCTGCAAAATCTGGCCTATAAACTCATTTTCCAGGAACTTCAGTCATTGCTGTTTCTTCTCGGCATGAGAATTTACACTCACGTGAACCTAATACTGGTTCTTTCAAGTGACTCCTCCAACTTTTGTCACAAAACTCGACATGCATGAATGGTAAGCTACACAGGCCTAAGGTAACCCATCCTGACAGGGAACTCAGGGTCTAGTTAAAAGGAAAGCAAGCTCCACTATATCCTCCTTTACTGCAGGCATTAAACTTGGCCTAAAAATAATTTCTGCCACTTTTAGACAGTTAAAACCTCTGGAAGTATCTAAAAGGATTTCTGGTTTTTATAACACCAGATAATCTATTCTACAACTAGCTCAGTAGTCCCAGTTTTAATTATTTGAAAACTTCGACAGAATTAAAACAGAACATATGGTATCACATTCTATTGTTTCTAACAATATTCTTTCAGGAGACCAAATTAACTTATTTCATTGTACAATAACTTCTCCTAAGAAAAAAAATACACGAAGAACCCCAGTCACCACTAAAAGCTGAAGTGATCTCCATTCATTGCAAACTATAATTTTTAAAAAATCAAATTTAGGGCCGGCCCCATGGCTTGGCGGTTAAGTGCGCGCGCTCCGCTGCCGGCGGCCTGGGTTCAGATCCCGGGCGCGCACCGACGCACCACTTGTCTGGCCATGCTGAGACCGCGTCCCACATACAGCAATTAGAAGGATGTGCAACTATGACATACAACTATCTACTGGGGCTTTGAGGAAAAAAAAAAAAGGAGGAGGATTGGCAGTGGATGTTAGCTCAGAGCCGGTCTTCCTCAGCAAAAAGAGGAGGATTAGCACAGATGTTAGCTCAGGGTTGATCTTCCTCAAAAAAAAAAAAAAATCAAATTTAATCTTGGAGACATTACACTAAGTGAAACAAGCCAGTCATAATAGGACAAATACTCTATGATTCCACTTATATGAGGTACCAAGAGAAGTCAAATTCATGGAGACAGAAAGTAGAATGGTGTTTGCCAGGAGCTGGAGGAAGGGAAAACGAGGAGTTAGTGTTTAATGGGTGCAGAGTTTCAGTGTGGGAAGATGAAAAAAGTTCTGAAGATGGATGGTGATGGTTGTACATCAATGTGAATATACTTAATGCCTCTGAACTACACACTTAAAAATGGTTAAAATGGTAAATATTATGTATATTTTACCACAGTTAAAAAAAAGAATCAGGGGCCGCCCGGGCGGCACAGTGGTTAAGTTCGCACGCTCTGCTTCACTGGCCCGGGGTTCCTGGATGCGGACCTACGCACCGCTTATCAAACCATGCTGTGGCAGCATCCCATATAAAGTAGAGGAAGATGGGCACAGATGCTAGCTCTGGGCTAATCTTCCTCTCACACACACACAAAAAAAAGAATCAAATTTACTTATGGTTCCAAAAGAGTAAGTGAATCCTAAAGTAACAGAAATTTATTACAAAGAAATTTATTACAACAGAAATTTATTACAAATTACAAATTTATTACAAAGTTTTTATTCATAAACATTAAAAACCAACTGCACATTTCTAAAACATATAAAGGAAAAAAGAAGTGTCTACCTTACAAATAGCTAGGATTCATTATTTAGGTTTTTTAAAATCCCTACAACTAAATTACCAACACAGGCCCCTGTTAAATCCAGAAGCAAAACAAAAACTTTTAGCACTGAATGTCAAAAGCTCTTTTCTATTCCTCCAATACCACCATTCTCTATGATCCCTCAAGCTCATTTGTTTCTTTTCCATCCATTTGCAAAATTATTTTCCTCTCAAAATATAGGTATACTTTTTCATTCATGTGCTCTTGTATATATAAAATACTTACTGGCACCAAGAAGCTAAAGATGATGTGTAAGACTTTAAAAACTAGCCACAGTTCTATTTTTACCTTTTGCATCCTTAAATTTTTTGTAGAACAAGGAGGACAAAGCAATAATTTAATTAATTCTTTCTCATAATTTTTAACTTCATGGTCAGTTTCCACTTGAAGAACTTCCACCACTCTGCCGTGAACTTTCCAATTTTTATCATTCAAGATAAGTACTTCTCCAACTAAAAATAAAGCTGTCAGGGATTTCTGTTTCTGAGATCCTTATGTCCAAATGGCTTGTGAACCCTCTTGCTACATAACACCTAAAAATGCTTCATAAAATACAAGAATGATCCTTTTAAATGGACAACACAGCTCACAAGCAACTAAGAGAAATCCTCAGAGAACCAACAAATGAACAGGAGCTTGTCCAAACAGAGAGTGGGAAGTAGGCAATGACACAGCAGCTGCCTTAGAGGCATCTGAGTCTCCCATAACCAAGCTGCACTGTCCAACACTGTAGCCACTCGCCACAGGTAGCTATTTAAATTTAAATTCATTAAAAGCATGTAAAATTTAAAATTTACTTCCTTTGTGGTACTAGCCACATTTCAAATGTGGCTATTGGCTGCTGTATTAGCACAGATATA